GTCAACTCAGAAATCTCAGCGGGTGGGCCAAACGCTTCCTGGCTTCTCACCTTCTCATGAGACTGCACACAGGCGGTGACATCACCGCTCGCGAGGCGGGGAGCCCGTGTATCGAAGCAACGTGCGGATGACCGCGGTCGTAAACCAATCGGGTTTAGGAGGAGCAAACTGCCGCTCCACGGGTGTAACTGGCCACATGCAACCCCACAGAGTAACAGATGTCAAACACCATCGCGGCAGCCATGTTTCAGCGAGGCAGATAGAGATACATGCGAGGAGATCATCAGATTATCGAGCAGCAACGCGGCAAAGCTGCCAAGTTACACGAAAACTTAAAAACTGGATTATTCTTTTTAAGCTCGCCGCCTTACATTTCGACTGTAGCTGCCATAAATCTACAAAGGACGCTGCCATTTAAACGTTGCCGCTGAAATCCAGACTGGCTCGTAAAATACACGAGATATTCGCGAAGAAAAAAACAAGATCAGATAATTTCAGGTCTGCAGCTCGTCCTCTCTGCAAACCAAAAACAATCTTCAGTTTAATTTGAGACTGGTGTGTATGTCAATATAGCAAAAAATGTGTCTGAGCAGGAGTGTGTGTGCTTGTGTGGTAAATCCTCTGAGCTAGCGTGTGCTCTCTTCTGAGCCGTCTTCACATATGGACCGTAAACAGGGTGATTACCAGACCGGGCTGGGCTCCGCCTGAACGCCACCCAGGGACTCTTTACATCATCAGCGCACTGCTCATGCCCGGCTAAACAGACACACACACGCGCGCACGAACACACGCCGAGAGCAGCAGCTCACTCGCACGCAGCGCAAATGAGGGTCTCCAGGTGACCATACGGTGGCCTAGGAGGAGAGCTGGCTTCGTACTGAAGGCACCTACGCACACGCTCCGATGCGAATACACACACGCGTGCAAAACGCAAATAGCAGTTTCGCATATGCGCTCTGCACGTTGATATACAAGCAAACACACACAGGTGCACACATATCTCGTTGTGCTGTAACTCCCTCACACACGCACATTATTGGCCCCTGTGAGAGATATACTGCCATTTCATTCCATTCACTCCAGAGCTGCCTCTGTGATATACTGACTACACCGCCTGTTAATACAATATCTGCACTGGTGCTTTCTATCCAACCTCCCAGCCGACGGAAAAAAAAAA